AGTTTTGCCTTTGTAGTTAGGAGACAATAAGTTAAATGCCTACCCATACGGGCATAGCAGGTGAAATCGTGTTCTTAAACTAACTATTTAGCCAATATAGTGAGTACAGGGTTAAAATGGGGCAATAAATGTATTGTAATGAGTCATGTAATTGAGAGTTATTTTGCTCTATAAAAGTTATGCCAAAAAACGCGTCATATGAGGTCGATTGGGCACAAGATTATCTATATTAATATAAAGGTCAATGCCACCTGAAATTTCTAATTCGCTGAGGAAGATGACTTGCATAAGCGAAAAATTGTAATCAAGAGAACTTGAAAGTGAAATATAAACTTTATTTCCTTGGAATGCATAAGGTAGTGTAGTAGTGAGAGCTGAAGTTTGCTAGAAGTAAAATGAGCAGGCTTCACAATATCAGGGAAATTCCCATTAGCTTGTCTCACTAAAGAACTTTTTCCTATCCGGAATAGATTGCGGTTTCGATCAAGTCTTACCGATTCATCAGACTCCCAAAGTGATTCTTACGCGGGTCATACGCGTAAATTGGCAACAATTTTTCATCTAGAAAACCTACTTACAAGCGAACAATTTATCATTTCCCCAAACAAGCACGAGGGCCAATATGCTACAGAAGAAGCCAGTGAAGTTGACTTTTTATAGTGGGATGGCCAATAGGGAACATTAGACGATGTTACTAGATGAGTTATAAGTAGGTTTCGAGAATATCGATAGATGTTGAGTTTGAGTTCGAGTCATTTTAATTGACGTATGCTGATGTAGAATGCCGCTAATTTTAGCTCTAAATGCAACCACTATATGTTACTTCTAGTGCTGACATGCATGCGAAGACTACTCTGCTAAGTGTTCAGAGGTTCGGGTCAACGAGTATAACCCATCATAGTTTCCGCAAAGAAGGAAAGACCTAAAATTCTCTCCTAAGCATGTGTAAGAATTTCGAGACCGTCCATCTACCCATCTTGTTTGGGACAAATGGACGGACAGTCTTCCTATAGGACTTGTCTACGAGCCTTTTTTCTAGGGGTCTTTCTGAAAATGTGGTAGGTCAAAAGGGGAGGCTCGTTCAGAGAGTCTGATAAACATTATTTTGAGTAACCTATCGTTAATTTAGGATGGATTGACCCTCACAAAGCTTCATATGCATACATACAAATTTCGTCTGTTGCATATTTGTGCTAATTGAAGAGCAGCAATGAGTCTCCGAGTCGCTATCCGGACTGATTATTCAGCCAGTAACACATAAACCTTCGGAGCAGACTAGCAGACCAATGTGGTCTGTTGCTTTCAGCAAAAAAGTTAGTCTATATGGTCGACCGTCACTTTGACTGCAATCTCAATCGTAGTTGGACAATTCTGGCAAGATTTTCGCTAGTTCAATGTCGCATACAAGATTTGGACAGGATGACTGAATAAAGGGATAAAAATTACTTCCATTGGACGGGCCATAATTGGTCTTCCAAAATTTCTGCCATATATGAACAACCTCTCGACCACAAGCGCGTGTAAATCAGCAAACGTGATTAGTTAGACCAAAAAAAGCGCAATGATTAGTCTCTTCTATTCAATAGTTTTGCCTCACCATATCGGGTCATTCTAAGTGTTCCTACAGCCTAACGATAAAAAAAGTATAATTGGATTTTGATGAATATATAATAATATTGCGGTGGTTTTAGTTTGGCGAGAAACTGATTGACGGAGAGATTCATATTTCGATATCACCGTCAAAAGAGGATGACGGATACTAAGACGTGAATCTCGACAAAATATCCTCATTCGATTCCGGAAAAAATGCGTAAAGTTCACGTCTGCCATGCCAGGCAACATCAGAGCTGAATCCACGCTTGCATTGTTTAATGAAGCAATTTCCTCTTCTATACCTGCTGCATATACTCACAATAAAAATAAGCAGATCTTAATAAAGGAAGAGGTATCAATTTTAGTTCCTGTTCGATTAAGAGTACCTGCATGTGTGTTTTCCTATTCGTAGGGTTGCGGCATCACCGGGAGTAGTCAGAACGTGAAGTGAAATCAGCCCAAGGAACATATTTTTGCAATCCCGTTATCTCAAGAGCATTATTTGCCGCAGTAATACTCTTCTCTTAGTAACTAACGCATCAAAAGGACAAATAGGTTAGCTCCGTTAGACTTTAGAAAAAGAAGACCCTTAGAAGAATGTTGTATGGGGCGATTACGAAGACTTTCGACTCACGAATTCATGTTTATAATGTGTCTTGATGCTTGTAGAATATCGAATTCTGTATAGATTTCCTAGTTGACCATTTTATGGCAAGCCAAGGGAGCAGTCTATTCCTTCATCGGATACCTTGTACAATTAAAAGGGATGCCTATTTTACAGATTTAACTCTACGTAACGCCCTCCAAATGATTCCAGAGGAGAGGAATCCATGTCCAAAACGACCGAAGATGTGTGAGATAAGCTCCATATTCCGAAGCTGTAAGCTACGATAAAGCATATTATATTTACCGTTCTCCGCAACTGAATTAGTTGACGGTTAAAAGTAGCTTATAAACTAACTAAATGTAATATATTACTTATCGGAACAAAATACTTTCGAGGTCTTTCAAATAGTTTATTCTGAAAATTGGGTAGATCGTAGTTTCCAGCAAAGCAGGTTCAGAAAAATTAAGCAAATATTCAAAGTAGCTTGAAATGTATCTATACCCAACATTTTATGAGCCTGTTGAAAACAAAAGATAAACTTAAGTAGAACTATTTGGTTATAACTCATTATAAAGTGATGATTTCAAAAGTTCTTTAATCTGATACGGTGTTGCAAGGTTTTGATGGCGTTAATTTCTGGAAGAATACGAGCATCAACTGTACGTGAGTCATTGCTACCGGTTTACTTTGAGACACGATCATTACCTTTTATTATTGGAGGTCATATAACTGTGACCAATTGCAGGATTGGAGAATAATCCCATACCAAATGGGCATAGGAGCTAAGGCTTCGGCCCATCACCAAAAGGCCTCGTCAGCCTCAACGTAGTGCGAGAAATGCTAGTTTACTGCTCCGGTTGGAAACAATTTTAATGATCTGATACTGCTGTCACTCGCTTTTGCCTGATAGAAGTATTTTATAAACTTTTTGGCATTACAAGAGTACTACAGGTGTGTAGGCCGAAAAAGACG